CTCTCTCCCTTCCCCTTTCTCTAAAAATCAATAAACTATTTTTTTAAAAAGGATAAAGGAAGTTGTCATAATGCTTGAATCATGAATATTGTTTGGAAAATAAATTTTTTTTTGGAAATTTAAAAAATAATAATAATTTGGCCAATACATACCCGGTACATTTGTTTATTATTCCACTTTATGAGAGTTTGGAAGGTTTGAACAAGAGTGAATTGGCTTATTTAAAATAATTGTTAGTCATACCAATAAAACGTGAGTGCTATTCTTAGCTAGTTTTATTGTATTCCATGGAAAGTACAGGTATATCTTGGGAGATATACAGGTTTGGTTCCAGACTACTACAATAAAGTAAATATCATAATAAAGTGAGTTATATGAAATTTTTTGTTTCTTGGTGCATGTAAAGGTTATGTTTACCCTATACTATAGTCTATTAAGTGTGCAATATCATTGTGTCTAAAATCCAATGTACATACCTTAATTAAAAAATACTTGACTGCTAAACGATACTATCATCTGAGCCTTCTGTGAGTCATTCTTTTTACTGATGTAGGATCTTGCCTTCAATTTGTAAAAAATGCAATATCTATCAAGTTCAGTAAAGTAAGGCACATTAAAGCAAGGTTTGCCTGTAATGGAAATATTTGCAAAGTAACCACAATTGGAATAAGAAATAATTGAAATGTAGTTTTCATATTGCAAAGATTGATTTATATTTTCATTGGAAGTATATATATATTTTAAATGTTTTCATGGTCTATTTTTGTTTTAATAGTGGAAAATCCGAGTACATTGAACCTGCCAAACGAGCTCATGTTGTGCCACCACCAAGAGGAAGGGGCAGGGGAGGATTTGGACAGGGTATACGACCCCATGATATTTTTCGTCAGAGAAAACAGAACACAAGCAGACCACCATCTATGCACGTGGATGACTTTGTTGCAGCTGAAAGTAAAGAAGTGGTCCCGCAAGATGGGATACCCCCACCAAAACGGCCACTCAAAGTATCACAGAAGATTTCTTCTCGTGGTGGATTTTCAGGCAATCGAGGAGGACGGGGAGCTTTTCACAGTCAAAATAGGTTTTTCACACCGCCTGCCTCAAAAGGTAACTACTTATATATGTTTTCTTTCTCTTTTTTTTGTTTTGTTTTGTTAATCCTCACCTGAGGATATTTTTTCCATAGATTTTTAGAGAGAGTGGAAGGGGGGACAGAGAGAGAGAGAGAGAGAGAGAGAGAGAGAGAGAGAGAGAAACATTGATGTGAGAGTCACACATTGATTGGTTGCTTTCTGCATGTGCCCCGACTGGGACTGGGGATCGAACCTGCAACCTAGGTACTTGCCCTTGACTGGAAATCAAACCTGTGACCTTTCAAGTCGCAGGCCAGCACTCTAACCACTGATCACCACCAGCCAAGGTTGTATATATTTTCTAATGGATTAGAACAGCGATTTTCTATCAGTGTGCTGCAAGAGTTTTTTTTAAAACATGCACTACCTGACTATTTAGTTGGGGGCACTGACCTCTTCCCTTAGATTGTCAAATAAAAAAATGACAACAGCCAACACAATAGTCGTCAAGTGTGAATAAAAAAAATTATACCTATTTTTTGGTGTGCTGCAGAATTTTAGTAATTAGTTTGTGTGTGTCATGAGATGAAAAAGGTTGAAAATTGCTGGGTTAGAATAGTGGAATATTAGAATACTAAATAGAAATTATTGAGATGGTAGTGATTCAGATAAAGTATTTTTCTGTTACTAAAATTAAGCTGCCTCTTGACTTGGCAGTGGTACTATTTGCAGAGCATTTTATTGGATAGGGAATAAATCTTATTTAAATTAACCTTTGCTTAATTTAAGCACATTTAGTGATAAGTTTAATTAAGTCTGGGCTAATTTTTTTCGTTTTTACATTAAGAATTATGTTTATCTTTTCTGAATAATATTTATACATTATTTTTGTAGCTGTACTTATCAACAGTTTCCCAAAGATTTTTCTGTATATTCACCATGTTTTAAATTGTTTCAAGATTTTAGAAACTGAGTTTATTCATAGATACTATGCTTCACCAGTAGATTGAGGACATGTTTTTTTGCTGCTGTGGAGGGTAGGAGTGGAAGAGAATAGAAGTTTACATTAATAGCAAACACAGAGCTGTGTTAGGGATGGTTATAAGCACTTGACATATAATACTCTCACATCAACCCCATGAGGTAGGTTTTGTTAATACAGCCACTTTACAGAAGAGAAAACTGTCAGGACACATAAGTGTAAGTGGTGAAACCAGTATGTGAACCTGGCAATCTGGCTCCAGAGCTTCTGCTCCTAACCACGTATGGTGCTGCCACTCTACAGTATATTTCATTTACAAAAATTTCAGGTTATCTTCCATTCCTTTGGAAGGTTAAGGAAAACCTGTCAGGTCTTTCTTAATCCAACTGAAGTTGTGAAAAAAGACTTTGATTGTGTTGCCTTTAGGAAACTACAGTCGTCGGGAGGGAACAAGAGGCTCCAGTTGGAGCGCTCAGAATACTCCTCGAGGAACTTACAATGAAAGTCGCGGAGGCCAGAGCAATTTTAATAGGGGCCCTCTTCCACCTTTACGACCACTTAGTTCTACAGGTAAACATTCTTCCTACTTGATATTGCTGAGGGAGGGAAGTGAATCCTCATTTTCAAATTGTTAAATGTCATGTACTCTGGTTCTGGGAGAGAATATTTTAGAATGTAAACGTGTAATTCTAAAGTCAATTTAATTTTATATCTGAATGAGTGCCCAATGTACATTTTCTATAGAAATGATCAAAATCGTGGATTCTGAACTTTGTGTATAGTCTGAGCAGTTTCATGGTGATGTGCGCTGTTTTTCTATTTTAATAATGAAAGCCAACCCTTAGGTACATTTTTGACCAAAGTATTTTAAGAACAGACATATCTTCATAAGGTGTCTTCTATTTTTAGTTACTGTATTATATTGTGTGTATAAGCATATAACCCTTAACAGCTTTATTTGAGATGTTGTACTCATATATGAAACAATTTACCTATTTAAAGAGGACAGTTCACACTGGTCTTCAACACATTCATAGAACTTGTACGTGGATTTTAAAGGAGCAAAGAATAATTTCTGTTTTGGTTTGAGCTGTGTTACAGATGAGTCTTCATATAGTGGGAAAGGAAAGGGTGTTGCAACTAACACTGTGTTCTTTCTTTTATAGGCTACCGCCCAAGTCCTCGTGACCGGGCTTCAAGAGGCCGTGGGGGACTTGGACCTTCCTGGGCAAGTGCAAATAGCGGCAGTGGAGGCTCAAGAGGAAAGTTTGTCAGTGGAGGCAGTGGTAGAGGTCGTCATGTACGGTCCTTTACACGATAAAAGTTATTTTGGGAACATCCTAAGTATATATGAACATTTCATGACAACAAAAAACAATAAAATAAGACATTGAAGGACCAACTTAACCTTTTAGCAGTTACCTGGAAACTCTGAAAAAATATTTTTATCTGAAGAAAGCAGATTTTGTTTGATACATAACACAAGATTTCAATAAAAATCCAAACTTTGTATGTATGTTTTTATATATTTTTTCTCCTTCTTATACAAGACTAGAAAATTTCTTAGGTAGAAAAATGAATGATGAAATTACTTTTGTCTTAGTGTGTACCTTGCCTAGACCACAGATGTTCCCAATATTTCCTCAGCTCATGGTGCCCTTTAGCGTTTCAGTAATTTTTTTTTTTTTGGCACATCTAGGACTAAAGAAATGCATAATACTTCCATTTATTAAGCAGTCAGGTCCAAACAACTTAATAAGAATTTATATCTTAAGCATTAGTAACTGTGGACACTGTACAGCTCCTCACCCCTTGGAATCAGCGTGGATCGACACTGCTACTATCATTTCCAGTTCCACTATGCTTTTTGCACAGTACTTTTGATCACAACTGCTGAAAACCCAGTTTTTAAAAGATACACTGTCATGGGAAGAAATATAAAACCACCTAATATTGAAGATAAACTACCTCACCCCAGTAGTTGGTGTTATGTCCAATAGATGTGTTCCCCTCAAAAATTTGAAACAAACCCTGACCCTTCTGCTAATTTACTAGGGTGCCCTGATACATAGTTTGGGGAACCTTTTTGACTGTAACAAAAGAAACACAACGTTCTTCTGTACATTAGAAATGTGTACGTACTTTGTGTTTCAGCTTTATACTTATACCTACATTTGCTATTTTATTACAGTTATCTAAAGTCTAAAATGAGGTGTGTCCTAATAGTTATTTTGGGAGTCCAAAATATCTAATAAAATCTGGACTTTATATACAGAAATAAAGTTTGTAACAGAAAATAGCCATATTTTCCCCAAGAGATAACACTGAGCCTATATAACTGACATAATAGAGACTTCTCGCCCAGGCGGTGTGGCTCAGTGGTTGAGTGTGTACCCATGAATCAAGAGGTCACCCGTTCAATTCCTAGTAGGGGCACACCCCCAAGTTGCAAGCGTGATCCCGGGAGGTGGGGGGGTGGGCAGTGAGGGGATGGAGGGTGTGCAGGAGGTGCAGGAGGCAGCCGATGGATGTCTCTCATCAATGTTTCTTCTCTCTCTCTCTCTCTCAAATCAATAAAAAATAAATAAAAATAAAGACTTAAACAACAAAGTGTGTATAAGTCTCACTTCATTCCTTTATCATCATGTTTTGCTGAACTATTTGTGAATGAATACAATGTTTGTTAGAACGCCTTTAATAAAAGCTCAGCTCTAAAGATTGTGATGTTTAAGTGAAAAGTAAAGGAAATCTCATATCCCTAATGGCCTCAAAAAAACCAGGATAACTAAACCCCTTTCAATTCTCAAACCTAATAAGCTCATCTATAAAGATAACATTCACATTGGATAGAATTCAAAATTTGTCCCTAATACCTGACCAAATACATGTAATAATTGTTTCTTAAGTAATTACATTTGTTAATAAAATATGGCTATATGTACATTTTTTTAATGGAATGCTTCATAAATTTGTGTGTCATCCTTGTGTAGGGGCCATGCTAATCTCCCTATTGTTCCAATTTTAGTATATGTACCACCGAAGCAAGCACTATAGGTACATTTCTTGATTTGTTTTTTAGCTTTAAGTTGAATATAATCTTTGAGAAATATCAGAGTGTTGTATATGCTATTTGTTCATGTAACACTCAGGAATTCACGCCAGCCAAAGTAATAAATTAGTACTGTAGAAGCAAATTATACCTACATTTGCTATTTTATTACAGTTATCTAAAGCCTAAAATGAGATGTGTCCTAATAGTTAATTTGGGAATCCAAATATCTAATAAAATCTGGACTTTATATACAGAAATAAAGTTTATAACAGACACTAGGTATATCGATGCTGTTGTAGATGGCAAGATTTTATTTTTCTTATGGTCATATTCCATTTATGTGCATCATTAAAAATGTTCTGATTACCTAATAATCTTCAATAAATGGGAAGCTAAGGAATTCAGCATGTTGACTATCCCTTTCATGCATTATTACTCAGTCTTTATAACAGTCCAGCAAAGGAGGTATTATCCTAATTTTACAGATGTAGAAACCTAAGGAACTTGATTTAAAAGTGATAACAGGTTTTAAAACCATGTTGGCTAGCTTCTAATTTTTTTAAAAGTAACTTGTTTTTCAATTACAGTTGCTGTGCAATATTGTATCAGTCCTAGGTGTATAACCCAGTGATTAGACATTTATATAACCCAGGGAGGGATCACCCGGTAAATCTTGTACCCATCTGACACCAAACATAGTTACTACAATATTATTGACCTCCCCATGGCTATTCTGTAACCACCGATTTGTACTTCTTAATCCCTTCACTTCTTTCACTCATCCCTCCAACCCTCCTCCCGTCTGGCAACTATCAAAATATTTTCTGTATCTGAGTCTCAGTTCTGCTTGTTCAGATACTTTTTCATATTCCGCATATAAGTGAAATCATGGCATTTGTCCTCTGACTCCACTCCGCACAACACACACTAGATATATCCATGCTGTTGTAGATGGCAAGATTTTATTTTTTCTTATGGTTGTCATATTCCATTTGTGTGCATCACTTCTTTATTCATCTACTGATGGACACTTAGGTTGTTTCCATATCTTGGCTATTGTAAACAATGCTGCAATGAATAGTTTTGGTTTATCATTTTGTGTGTGTATTTTTAAAAAAAAATACCCAGAAGCAGAATCGCTGGGTCTTTCTTTGTCTCCTGTTATAGCTTTTGTTTTAAAGTCTATTTTGTCTGGTATAAGTATTGCTATCCCTGATTTTTAAGTTATATTTCCATTTTCATAAAATATCTTTTTCCATCTCTTTACTTCCAGTCTGTGTCTTTTATTTCAAGTGGGTCTCTTGTACAAGGCATATGTAATGGTCTTGCTTTGTTAGCCCTTCAGACATAGTATGTCTTTTCATTGGAAAACTTAACCATTTGCATTTAAAGTAATTGTTGATAAATATGTATTTATAGCCATTTTTATTCATGTTTTTTTTTTAAAAAAAATCCTCACTGGAGGATATGCTTATTGATTTGTAAGGGGGGGGGGGGGAGGCATCCATTGGTTGCCTTCCATATGTGCCCCAATCCTTAAACTTTCTGTATATGGGACAACGCTCCAACCAACTGAGCCACACCAGCCAGGGCTATTCATGTTTTTTATCTTTTTCTCCTTTACAAAAAGACCCTTTAATATTTTTTGTAATAATGGTTTGGTGGTGGTGAGCTTCTTTAGCCCCTTCTTGTCTGGGAAGCTCTTATCTGTCCTTTGATTCTGAATGTTAGACTTGCTGGATGGAGTAATCTGGAATGTCGCTCCTTGTCTTTTCATCACTTTGAATAATTCCTGCCAATCCTTTCTGACCCTAATGGAACCCAGGACCCTTCACTCCGCGGGCCGACGCTCTACCCACTGAGCAAAACCGGCCAGGGCATAAATCCCTTTCTGAATTGAACCACCGAGAAACGCAAAGGGCCACGTGCCGGAAGGTCGGCCAATCAGAGCCGGGCTGGGCCAGGCGCCGCCAAGGAGGTAGTGCGCACGCGCGCGGGCTCTTCCGCCATTGGCTGCGCGGAAGCGGGATCTTTGAGCTCTCGCGGTGGGGGGAGCTGTCTACCCCGGTTCCTCCCGCGGACAACTCCGCTTCCTTCGGGTCCTCGCCCGTGGCTTTCCCGGAGAACCGCCCGGCGACAGCCTGTAGGCTCGCGTGGAGCTCCGCGAGGAGAGGCCTCCGAGGGAGGAGGGAAGGTCGGCGGCGAAGCAGGCGGGGCCGCCTCCTGCGGGTCCCGGGGGCGATCTGAGGTGTGGGGCGCCCCTGGCCGCGGGTCCTGGGGGGCGGGGGCCGGGGGGCGGCGGTGGGGGGGTGCGTTTTTGGCGGAGCCTCCGGGAGAGGGAACTGCGGGCCGTCGCTGTCTCTGCCCGGTGGCGTTTCTTCCCCGGTTGGTCCACGTCCTCCTCACGGTGTTGATCATTAGCGGAGGGTTTTGTAGGCCGGTTCAGTGGGCATGACGTCAGAAGAGCAGGTGAAGCCGGTTCAGTGGGGCATGACGTCAGAAGAGCAGGTGAAGCCCGCAGCCGCCGCAGAGGCGGCCGTGGATGGTTCTTGGTGGTTTGTTTACATCCTTGCTCCCGGGGGGTCGGATGGGGGACCCCTCCCACCTTCAAAGCCACAGGAACCCACAGATTTCGGCCACGACCCCCCTGGTCGAGCTACATCCTTCACTGCCCCGCCTCACAGGGCCTTGTGTCTTAAGCATCCAGTAGTAATTAGACATGGCATTATTACAGATAACCTTGCGTGCTTACTGTGTGTAAGCTTTGTCCTAAGTGCTTGCAGTGTTTCATTTAACCCAACAGCACCGTGAGTCATTATGATTACTGTACCCCCTATTATAGATGGAGAAATGGAGACACAGAGGTTAGGCACACTGTGCAGGGTCACACACCAGGAAGTGTCAGTCCAGGTGTTCACCTTATATTCAGGTATTTACCCTTAAAGCTGTATTCTTAGTGACGACATGTCACTGTTACCTTCAAAGCTGTGCTCGTCATTATTCTCTGCATTGCCCCAAAGTTCAGGCTTTCTGATGTGTGGCAGCTGTCAGCCATTGACTAGGGAGGACAGAAGCAGGTAGGGTGTTCGCATATCTCAGAACTTGTAGCATCCCAGTAGGGCTGCCAAATGGGCATTATTTCTTTATTTTTTTAAAAAAAAATATATTATTGATTTCAAAGAGGAAGGGAGAGGGAGAGAGAGAGAAACATTAATGGTGGGCTGCCTCCTGCACGCCCCCTATTGGGGAACAAGCCCGCAACCAATGTACATGCCCTTGACTGGAATGGAACCTGGGACCTTTCAGTCCTCAGGCCCACGCTCCTTCCACTGAGCCAAACCAGCTACAGCCAAATGGGCATTATTTCCAGGGCCTGGACAAAGGGCTCAGATAGTTCTAATTTAAGAGGTGGCAAGGAAGCTGAAATAGTTAGGGAGAAATATACTGATGCCTGCAGTTTTAAATGCATTAAGTTAGGTGACTGATGGATGTAAATGGCAGAGCTAGAATTCAAGTCAATTTAGAATCTGTTTTCTGAACCACCACCACTCGGTGCTGTTTCTCACTTGCCTACGTTCTCAAATTCATTTAAAAAAATAATAGGATAAATAGGAGGGTTGAAAAATTAGAAATCGTGTATTAGGTCTGGAAGGGTTTCAGGGTTTAAGGTGGCGATGAAAGAAATTTTACCATCTAGTCCATTCTCTTTATTTTACAAATCAGGGAATTGATATTCAGAGAGTTTAAATAGTTTGCCCAAAGTTTCTAGCTACTGTATTTTTCTAGTGTTCTTTTTAAAAACGGTTTTGGTCAGAATTTTCAGAGTTTTACAGGGGGATCTGACTAAATGCAGAAAATAAAACCTAATTTCATGATGTGGACATCATTTTTATTAATGACGTCGAGAATTTATTACTTTAATTAAGTAGACTCATCATTATCTTGTTATTTCAATTGAGCTATTGTCATCTAAAAGCCCCTTGAGTTTTTCCATATAAACTTTCTATTGTTCTATTTCATTTGACCATTAAGGGTCTAACATTTGTATGTTGTAATTCATCATGTTGCAGTTGTCAATTATGTATCCAGGGACATGTAATATTCTGTTGGCCCATTTTAAAGGGGATGAGGTTAGTGAGGTTATTTTGGCATGTCTTATTTAGACAGAATCTGTATTGACCACTGCTATTGGTAAATACTGCTTCTCAAGTACACATAGTTACAAACCAAGTTTGATTAAAACCATTAATTTGCTCTAAGATTGTGTTAATAGAGATCTATTTTGCCCTTGACTAAGAAACAGTAGAGAATGCCCTCCACTGCTAACCCCTCAAACTGTATAAGGGCTACCCAGCACAATGTGAATGTCCCCACTCACCACGGAAACCGAGGCAGAAAGACCTGAATCTAATCAGACTTATGGGAGATTTTTGTTTTTGGTGTTTTTCAGGTTAGTACTGCTGAACATGAGACGATCTGCAGCACCAAGTCAGTTGCAGGGGAAACCCTTCAAAAAACCAAAATTTATACCGCCAGCAAGAAGTAATCCAAGTCTGAATGCAGAGATTACAAAGCTGGATCCAGATATGCAATTGTCTGAGGTAAAAAAAAAAATTTAAAAATTAATTAATTAACTAATTAATTAAAGGAAGCAATATAGAGAAGCATGTATTTGTAAAAAAATGCCATCTAAAGAGTTAACAGTACTTACTGCCTATAGGAATTTTCAGTTGACAAAGTCCTACCAACGCCTTACAAATTATTACAATTTTTTAAAAAAAGGAATGACGCCGTTACCGGTTTGGCTCAGTGGATAGAGCGTCGGCCTGCAGACTGAAAGGTCCCAGGTTCGATTCTGGTCAAGGGCATGTACCTTGATTGTGGGCACATCCCCAGTAGGGGGTGTGCGGGAGGCAGCTGATCAATGTTTCTCTCTCATCGATGTTTCTAACTCTCTATCCCTCTCCCTTCCTCTCTGAAAAATCAATAAAATATAT